GCCCCTGGCAACCACTGCTACATTCTGTGTCTATGAATATGACTACTCCAGGTACTTCGTGTAAGTGGAGTCATCCACTATTTGTCCTTTGTGTCTGGCTTATTTCCCTTAGCATAATGTTTTCAAGGTTCATCCACTTTATAGTATGGGTCAGAATTTCCACGGTATGTAATACCACATTATGTTATCCATTCATTTGTTAATGATGGAAGGCCATATTTTTTTCAGGGATGATGCCCAAAGCACTAGTGTATTAGATGGCAGGTGGACCCTATCCCCCATTATGTCCCTCCTGATGGGTAAGAGCCACCAAGTTTTCTCTCTCACAGATTTGTGGTGACCACTTGCTAAGTGAGAGAAAACTCTGAACAATTAGAGGAAGCCCAAAAACTTTGAGTATGAAGTTATTTTTCCTTCTCCATGTACTACAGTGAAAGCTAGAGGTAGAAATAATTTAGTGGAAGCTGCGCAGGTGAGTTATCTACTTTATGCTCCATAAATAATGAAAAAATGGACTCTGTTTCCAAACATTATTTATATCAATTCTTCATTGGATAGGTGACTTCAGGCTAAATGCTAAAAACAAAAAGCATAACCTGAAATTAAAATACTGTGATCAGGAGCAATTGCAAAATCATTGCTCTAGAGAGCTCAAGGGGCTTTCAACTCGATTTCTGGTAAAAGGGTGTCTGAACTGCCAGTGGGCTCAGGATCCCTCGGGATGCTGGGCTGGCTGGCTGCTATTGGGTGCTCTGAGAGAGCACTCAATCACTTAGGTGGGGCAGCTTCTCCTTCCGCTTCTCTCATCCCGTCTTGTTTGGTTTGTTGTATTTTTCACCTAATAATGTACCTAGGGATAATAGTCACTTTAAAAGGGACTTATATAAGGTCTTTTTTTGTGTGTTTTGAATTTGAATCTATCTTTTTATAGTTTCTTTTTTCTTGGATGTGTTTGACACAGTTCTGGGCACTAAGGGTTCTCCATATGACAATGAAGTGAGTCTTCAGCGCTCTCCTGCCAGCCCTCTTGGGGCCTCTCTCTTCCTCTCCATCAGCCACAAAGGGCCTGCAGAGGATATGAAGGCTGACCCTGATTGTCTCCCAGGGAAGGCTTTCCCCAGTGCTCTCTCTTCCTGAAGGCAGGACAACCTGGGTGGGAGTCTGTCTGCTTCCCTGCTTCGCACCGATGTGTTGTGGGGAAAAGCATAATTTGACTGTTAACAGAAAAGCTGTGGAAAAAAAGGGAAAAACTGATGAATTGCAGAGGGCGTGTTTGGAACTTGAGATGCAGGGTCCATTTCTCTGAGAATGTGGTGAGATCATGTGACCATTCCCACAACCAGCAAGGGTAGGATTTGAAGGGGAGGAGGAGTCCTGGGCTAGAGCTCCATATGTGCCCTCCCACAGAAACATGTTGGGGTCTAGGGTTCTATTAGGACCGTATTGCACTCCAGTTTCATGGGCTTCAACAGGCATCTGTGGGCTGCCTGGGGGACCTAACTACCACGCACAACATGGTTTCTATGGGAAAATGCATTTTGAGTACTAGAAAACTGACATACACTCAAACTTTTGGAACAGAGCCTGCTCTTAAGTTGGAGGCTGCTTGAATACCACATTCACAGCTAAATTATATACATAGGCCTATTTTTAAGACATATGCCTATTTCCAAGACATTCAGCTTACGTAACAATGGGAATTGGAAAAAAGCATTGATAGAAGTAGAATCATGTGCTCGGTGGGGAAGAGGGGGAAGATGTGAACATTTGCTGTATAGAATACATTCATTTTTATTTAGAAGGAGAGTAGAGGACACAGAGAGAATGCCTAAAATATTCTGTAGGTTTGTGTGGTCCACCCCATGGGACCTTTCTTTAAGCTGCTTCTTATGCATATATTTCTTAATTTTGAGACAAATAGTCAAATTCTACAGTAACATAGAAGTTGGCATTAAATTAAGAGGTCAGTGTATGACCAAGGCCTGCATTTTATAGGACCTGCCCAAGCCATGTAGCACCTCTGGTCCCTGTACGCCCTCAACCTGTGGGCTTCCAGGATGATGCATGAACTCCCTGCTGCCAGATCTGGATTTCCTTGCCCCAAATGGACTTACCCTGCAGGACCCAGCAATGGTTTTGCCCCAGGCCATCTCTTGAAGCCAGTTTTCTAGAATTCTCAGTTACTTAAGGCCAACACCCATATCCATTGGCCAGCAACTCAGTACTGAGTACTGAGACTAAAAATGAACCAACCTAGATTTACTTCATTTTGCTTTACTTCAAATAACTCATTTCAACTCTGTAATTTATGGAATTACATTAATTAATTTTTATTTAACTACTTTAAATCAACCTGACAAGTCAGCTCAGGTGAGAATTGAATTTAAAACCCTAAACATCGATTAAACACCCCTAGTTGGCTGTTACTATGTTCTTAATTATGAAAAGTAATGAAGATGGTTCAACTGGCCTTTGGGTTGGCAGAGAGCTGTAGGATGAATATTCTCCTCCTCTCCAACTGTGTGTATTTTATTCATAGACTACCCTGGTATTCTAGATAAAAATAACTAATGTAAATTCTGTTGTTTTTCAATTGTGAATTTAGGAAACAGAATTTTAGTTCTGATTCATGCCTCATGTTTGGAATAGAGTAGCTGGTGTCTCATGATACTAAGAAAGATACAGAAGAAAAGAGGACAAGACCAGTACCTCAATTCCTGAAGAAAGCTGACCCTTTCTTATGGTGGGCTCACCATGGAATCTATACCCTGGCCTCCGTTCCCTGTGCCACAGTGAGCAGGTGGCTTCCACATCCGGGAAGAGGAGACTCATGCAGTGTGTGTCGCTTCTCTATGCCTGACATTTTCGTTAGCACATGCCTGTTTCCCATGGGAATTGCTACCTAACTCTAGAGGGAGAGATCTGTCTGCTGATAGCAGGGGCAGTGAGGCTAGGAGGGCATTAGATAAAGATGTTTCATGGAGATGAAGGAGCCCCAGTAGAATGGCAAGAACTCTGATCTCTGATTTAGGTGACCTCAGTTCTGATTCTTGTTCTGTTGCAAACCATTTGGGTGACCTCGGTGCCTTGTGATCTGGGAAGTGGGCTAGTAGATTGTAAACACATCTTTTAACCCTACAATGAGCCAGAGATAAGCTGATTGTGTCCCTGGGCCCAGCTCCTGCCAGCTCCAGCAATGGATGCCTGAAGCTGGTGCAGCCTTCAGCCCACAGTACTTCAGTTTCTGCATCAACCCTGACCCAGCAGGTGTGCCTTAGGCACCTCAGCCCCATGAACCAGTGGAGGCTGAAATAGATAGTAAGATTGTGACCCTAGGTGCCACTGTTACAATTTTTCCTTCGACACCAGCAGCCCTATCTCTGCCATCAGTGCCATCATAATAGTGTGTGTGCCAGGCTCTGTGCTAATCACTTTTCATTCATGATCTCATTTAGTCTTCCTAACAGTTCCATAGGAAGGTGATCTCCCATATTTTTCAAATGAGGAACTGACTGGATGAACAAGCCATGTTGACCTGGTTCCAAAACCCATTCCCTTAATCCCTTAAGTCCTAATGATGCAATCATTATGACTGGTTTTCTGTTGTTCTTTTCTGCCTTGCCATCCAGTTCTTTGGAAGGGACAGAAAGCTGGCTTGAATTTCAGGCCCCTGGGTTTGGCCTTGACTCTTTGGCAAGTTTCTGTGTAGACTCTGTGAGCCTGGATTCTGTTCCTTGCCTCCCAAGCTTGTGGTTTGTGTCTGGCTCTTAATGAACCAAACACGCACATCGTGATGCTGTCCCCCACCTGAATTTGACAACGCTTCCCATCTGGCTCACCCTGCTGTCACTCCTCTGAGACGTAGGGCTTAAGGGCCTGCTGGAGCCAGGGCTGATTTCATTACCAACCTTTAGGGCTGTTGGTCACTGATTTGAGGTCAGCCCTATAGTTCTCACATTTTTCCTAGCCCTCCTCTGGGCTTCCATCCTTCTCCACCTCCCCTGCTCCTGTGCACTCAGTATGATTTCCACCTGAGTTCAGCTGACTTGCCACATCTGAGGCCTGTGGGAAAGAATGGAGTGGGACATGGAGATCTAACCCTGGACTGGAAGGTGACCCCAGGGGTCCAGCCAGAAGGAGGTGCTGTAGGAGTTGCTCAGCAGTGCTCCGTAAATATACCTTTTGTTTTATTCATGTGTTCCTTTCCACCCTCCCTTATTTCTTTGCTTGTGGAGAGCTCTTGAGCACAGAGCCACAGGGGAGAGAGGCCTTTTCACTGAGTTGGCCCGGTCTTGTTCTGTCTCTGCTCTTTGCAGTATTTGGTTGTTTTCCATCTTAATTATGCTCCTTGCATCAGTGGCTGGCAGGCACACAACCTTTAGAGGAGTTTATCTTAAAAACCCATTCTCTCCGGAGAGAAGCTGTTCTATGGGGAACTGTGAGACTTCCAGGGATGGCTGTATGCATGTGTGTGTAGGCAGTAGGGAGGTTGGTGACAGTTGCTTTCTCACTTACCATTTACCTTAGGGAGGTCAGAGCTCGCTAACACGGGCTGGGGCTACTTATGTGTCCCCCAGTTTTAAGCCTCATTAAACACACAGAATCGCCACTATTGACTCAATTGGGGACAGTGATGATATTGTAAAGGGGAGCCAGGGCTTGACAGTGGGTTAAATGAGTGACAGCACCATAAGTTTTAGGTCACAGCTACAGTTAATGACTGACTGTAACATCTTTCTTTGGGTTAAGACTCTGGATTTCTGACTAAATGTAAATATTTTCTGGCAGAAATAATTTTTCATTATCAGTCATTTACATTTTAGTATAAATGACCTTTTAGAAGACTCAGTTACCAAGGGCATAGGTCTCCCCATATCTGGAATAACTATTTAATTGGCCCAAATAGATAGTTTTCTTATTAAGCCTTTAATTTACTCATTTAGATTTTTTTTTTTTTTTTTTTTTGTAAAACTATGTACTCTGTCCTATATAAGGAGCCCAAGAGAAGGAGAAGAACTGGTCGCTTGAGGACCTGGACTTCCTGATATGAAACAATACAGTATGCCAGAGATAAATTACAGCTGGGAGCTAGACCACATGATACAGAAGTAGCTGCACATTGATGTTGAATGAAGCAGGTACAGATGGGGCTGAGGTTAGCTCCATGGAGGACTGAATATCTGCCCTGAATTTTCACTCTTGAAATTGCCCAGATGAGGTTGATATGATTAAATATCAGAATGAATAGTAGAGAATAAATATTGCAAAAGGAAAAAAATGGGTGCACTGCAGGAACTGGAGAAAACAAAAGACTTGTGTGAACTAGAAGGAAACTGGTGAATTCTGTGACACTGATGCAAAGAGAAAGTCCTTGCTTTTCTTCCCTTACCTAGCTGTCTGACTTTATTCTTTATTAGCAATGTCCGTCTCTCATTTGAATATTCTAGCTCCTGCCCAATTTCCCCACTAACTTTGGGGAGGCATAATGCTCTGCCTACACAGAACAGGTGCTTAATAGATGTATTGAATAAATTAACAAATGAATCATAAATAGTATTGAACACATCTGCTAGGCTGAGCTACTTTAGAATCTTGACTTTGATTCTGCTGGACTAAAGTTGCTTTATCCCAAATCTGAAGCTGGAAAGGACGAGATATCATAATAACAAATGCTACATTTCCATCACTGGTCAATCCTCCCATTCTCTGTCTGTCTCTTGTGAGCATTCACATGGCCTCATTCAAACTCAGCCACAGCAATGATTCTTCCTTTTACATGACTAGATGCTGTGAGACCACCAAGCCAAAAAGATGCCACCCTTACCCTCTAAGAACATAAAATTAGTACTTAATTTTATATTATGAAAAGCGAGGAATTTATTTAGGAAAAGAGGAATTTTAGATTTAGCCTATCATAAAATTAGTCACCCAACAGTGACATTTCTTTATAAATGTCGATGCTGGGGCTTCTCATTAGATTACATTCTCTCTGAGGGTGAACCAGTTAAGAAAGAGGACTAGATATCCCTGACCTGCTCTTAATACTCTCTGTGGCCATGGGCCCCTCCACCTGTCAAAGATCAGGCAGAGAATGTGCTCTTCACTATAGCACCAGCACTACGGTCTCTGTGTTAGGGACGCAATGATTAAGTGTCTCCATGGGAGTTCATGGGCCCAAACGTATTCCCTAAAGCCCTGGCAGGTGACTGAATGTGCAGCCCACAGCTTATAAAAGGCTGTATCAGTGGGTCCATAGGCTCCAGAGGTCAGCTTCTTATTCTGGGGATCCCCCCAGGGTCCAGCCATATCCTCGATCAGGAGTCCTGTTTCACAGCTCAGTTCCCAGCCATGTAAGGGGAATCTGGGACTGAGACCAACACCACAGTGCTTTTCTAATCTGTTCTTTTCTCTACCATTTTTCCTGTCTCCACCCAACCAGGAAAGCAGAATACTTAAACTTCTGCCAAACTCCCAAGAAGCTGACCTTCCAATTTGCAGTGTCATTGCTCAGGTTGTTTCCTGCCCATCAAATGCCAGTGGCCTAGATTGACCATTGCCACCGTGCCTGGAGAGGCCAAGAAGTACACCATGGAGATGACAATGACTATGGCAATCCAGCAGTCTGCTCTTACTGGGTGATTGTAAGAGGGTAAAGCAGATGTGCTGAACTTTGTGATGATTTTATATTCCAGTAAACACCCAGTAAGACAACATGGGTGGTGGCAGGGCCCATATGGGTATTGGAGAAGTAGTGGACAAAGTCAGATCCAGCCCAGCCAATGAGGGCAGGGCCTTACTGGTGTTGGGCTCACCAGTGTTGAATAGAAGATGCCCAGAGTGAGAGAGACAACTTCCAAGACTAGAACTGTGTATGGAGCCCAAACCAGGAGAGTCGGGGGAAAGAGGGCAGCTGGACATCATCTTCGTGGATGGAATCTTGCCAGGTGAGCCTTTCTCAGTCATGCTATGGTGCTGATAAAATGTGGGGGCAACGTAGATTTGGACTTAAGTTCCATTTGTTGGCGTACAGTAGCTGTCTTTTGAGCTGGTTCTGCTCAACCACTGCTCTTCCCTGGTGTACACCAAACCCGACTGCTTCCTGTCCAAGGTCCGGCCCAGCCCAGCTCTGCATTCATTGCTCACTCAGCTGTCCCATGGCCTCTCCTGCAGTCAGCCCCACCCACCTGCTGCAGCCCTACCTCATTGCCTCTGTGTGATCCTCCCTGAAGCTCCCCCCATATGGGACAGCATCACAGGGAGCTTAGATTCATTGCTGATTGTTCTCTGGCTGACCCTGATTTCCTCGTTATGCTGGTATTTGGCTCCTTTTATATTTTTTCAGATGCAGATCACAAGGCTGGCCCATGGTCGGTCCTTTGTCCTCTCGTTTCCACCATATTCATCCCCCGCCTCCTCTGAATTTCTCATGACAGTTGTCGGGGAAGGGGAAAATCAGGATGATGTACTTTTTCTGTCTTGCATTAGAACACTTTTTGGGTGTTGATTTTTCAAACTGCCTTTTTGATTAGCCTGTACTGACTCAGATGTATCAAAAATACCAATAGTGCCTTGGCCCTTCTGAGCATAGAATTGGTTTCATCTTTGTATCATGTCTGTAATTTCTGTTGAATCATTTTTCTATTAGTAACATATCTGAAGGCTTAGCCAGGCACAGGCTGGACATATCAGGATGAGGAAGACCTAGTGCATAATCAAGCCTCAAAAGCTGCTCATGAAGGGAATGGGAACAGAGGCTTTGGGGAAACTGACCTACCCCATTGAAAGTTCTAGAAGGAAAGTCAGACCTGTGAGTAAAGCCCAGGGCCCCACTGGTAAAATCATAGGCCACATTTTAGATTTTCAGCAATAGAGTACCTTAAATAAGTAACCCTTATAAGCACAGATGAAAAATGTGTCTCAAGGCATTGGGATAGCTGATAGCAAGGGACCCACCCTGTAGTATCTAGATGTTAAATGCCAAGAGCTATTCTAGGAGGGAGTGAGATGACTTTATTCCTCTTTATGTTCCTCTTTCCTTCATCAAATAATTAGTGAATGCTACAGTAGCTCTACTGAACAATCTGGTAAGCAAACAGATAAGGCAATTCCATGGAGCTTGGAAGGGAATAGATTAAAACTAATAAACACACAAAATAACCACAAATTGTTAAAAGAGCTATGAATGAAATAAACCAGTGCTAACAAAGAACTGGGAAGTGGTTGGAGAACACAATTTAGAATGAATGGTCAAGAAAGCCAAGACTTGAAGAATGAGATGGAGCCAGCCAGGTTCAGAACATCACAGAGAGAGCAATGCACAGCATGCGCAAAGGTCTGGATCAGAAAAGTGTTGGCTTATTGAGGGAGATAAAGGGATTTGTATGGTTGGAGAATGGGCAAGGTAGAAAGAAACAAGTTACAGAAGAGGGGCTTATTGTGGGAACTGTATTAGTTAGCTTTTGCAACAAAACAAACAATCCCAAAACTTAGTGCTTAAAACAATAGTGATTCATTAAATTCTTCTGGTCTGGGCTTGCTTGGACAGGGCTGGATGATCTATAATGACCTCACTTACATGTCTAGGGTCTCAGCTGCAATGGCAAGCATGATGGGAATGACTGGGCCTCTCTTGGGGTCTCTCATCATTCTATAGAAAGCTCAGGCTTGTTTAGATGATGGTTGGAGGATTCCCAGCAGCAAGAGAAGGCAAAATCCATTGAGTAAGGGTGTTCCAAGCCTCTGTATTCCATTGGCTAATGTTTCATTGGCCAAAGCAAGACACATGGCCAAGCCCTGGAAGCGAAGTCTAGAAAAATCCACCTCTTGATGGCAGCATCTAAGAAATATTAATTCCCCATTTTTCAATATAACCTCAGGAATGAAAACAGAAACTCTTTTAATTGGGTACCTACTCCAAGCTGGGGTTTCATTCAATTTCCTTCCTTTCCTTCCTTCCTTCCTTCCTTCCTTCCTTCCTTCCTTCCTTCCTTCCTTCCTTCCTTCCTTCCTTCCTTCCTTCCCTCCCTCCCTCCCTCCCTCCTTTTCTTCTTCCTTCCCTCTTTCCTTCCTTGCCTGCTTCCTTTCTTCCTTCCCTCCCGCCTTCCTTCCCTCCTTCCTTCCCCCCTCCTCCTCCTCCTCATAAAAATTATCTATTATGTGTCATGCTTCCTCTCGTGCTTCAAACCACAGTTGTCTCGTGCTTCAAACCACAGTTGGCTCTGAGCACTGGGGTCAGGGCTGGGTTTGAACACATAGTGGCAGTGGCAATCAGAATCCAGATGCCATAGCAATGGGGATGGGGAGAGATGGGGCTGGGTCTAGCAGTGGCTACCGACAGTCCTGATGTCTGTATTGCACCCTACAACCAGGCTCTCTGCAGCTTGTGCCATGACTGTCCCTTCAGACTGGGAACTCCTGAGTCATGTATTCAGTGCTGGTCAATGGCCTTAGCAAAGCCCCAGGATCTCTTTACTAGAAATGGTTTCACAATTTTCCCACACAGATTGTGTCCTGAAGGGACAACTGAGTATAAGTGTATCATTCTCTGCATTTTTCATATGTAGGGGATAGGGGTGGAGAGAGAAAAAAAATCAGGAAATGTATATATTTATCCTGGACTGGCCTTAAGAAAACGCAGCCACCAATCCATCAAAAATGAATTTGAGTTTGGATAACATTAGCGTTTAAGGCAATCCTCTTCCCTTGTATTGATTCTCTGTGGGTTGAAATGGAAACAATTTTAGAAATGTAGTCTTAGGTTTCCTTAATCTGCGTGGCTCAGGGAGGAAAAGGCTATTGTCACTTGTGCTAATAACCACAAGAAACACAGTTCTAAAGTGCTTAACTGGGAAATGAATTCCAGAAACCAGCCCTGGTCATAACTCCAGGGAATTTGTTTCCTAAAAATTCAGCCTTTTTCTTTCCTCCAAGAGAGTTGCCTTAGAAGGCATGGCCATTTGGGAAGGAGAAACTATAACATGCAGAGTTGAGGATTCCCAGGAAGGGAAGAGTGAGTCAGCATGAGGTAGGGTCTTAATTGTTCAGTGATGGGATGAGGGAGGGGGTTGCTTGTGCAACTGACTTTAGAAGCTCAAGGGAGACCTCAGCCTCCCACCACTCAAAATAAATATCTGCTTGAAGCTTTATTAGAACTACTTATATTTTAGGTCAAAGTATTGGGGTTACCTCCTCAAATGTGTATGGAATTTGTCTGTTTTAGCATGAACTAGGCATCATTAGCATTAATTGCCTCTCAGTTCCCAGAGGTGGAGAGAATAAGCTGGGTAGAGAGCAGGGGAGGGAGAAAGATTTGTAGCATGGGGCACTGCAAGTGGGAGAGAGACCAGGGTGGACCCAGTGAGAGACAGAGGGAGCTCATGGGGTGTCTGGGTATGGTGTCTAAAAGGCAGAGGTGAGGATGGCTACCCCCAAAAGGGAGCCTTGGTCTTGCTAAAGAAAGGCATGTCTGTTTGTAATTTGGGGTGAGCTTCCTAAGGACCAAGCATTTGAGGCCTTGTGCCTTAATCCATTTAGTCAAAGAGAGAAAGGTAGTGAGGTCACAATCTCTTTTGCATTTAGAGAACCTGATTGAGACCTGCGCTTTCTTTCTCAGCCTGCTATGTGGTCTTTTTGCCTCTGGCAATTAATAAAGCCCTTGTGGGTATTTGCATAAATATGGGCTATATTTGCATAAAGTGTAGGCACAATTTGCAATGTCCCCTGGAGGATGAGTCTGTCCTGTGGCCTATACCCTGTTTGTCACCTGAGGTTTGTCATTTTACACCTCCCTTCCTTCACACCCACCCACTTGTCCTGACCTAGATCTGGGAGACCTAAGTGTGGGAGGAGGTTGAAGGGTGAGGATGGGTGGCTCTGTCTTCTGGGCTACCAAGATGGCTGCCTTCCTCTTCCTCTTTCCGGGCTCTATCAGCCCTTGCATATAGCCATGCACCCCTGAGTAACACCTTCCTTTTCACCATAAGTAATTTGCTTCGGACATCTCCTTCAGCAGCCTGCATTGGGCACAGCCTGTGTGGATGATTCAGCTCTACATGTACCTAGGGATATGCAAAGGCTTGGCCTCCCTGAACCTCTCCCAAGAGGCCAGAGCTCTAAGGAATGGGCCTCTCCTGTACATGGTTCAGGCTCTTTAAGGTGAAAGTGCAGATGCTCAGTTGACATTAAGAGTTTGGGTTTATATCAAGTGAGGCCATAACAGGCACAAGCTGGACCTCCCAGGAATAGGAAACCAGGAGGACAGGGCCATGCCAGGGCTTTGATGGAGTTGGGGCCTGGGAGGCTTTCAGAAGCCAGGCCCAACTTTAGTGCCTAGGATATCTTGGTGCCCTCTTAGAAGCTAACAGTCTCCTATTCTTTCCATTAATGACAAGCTGCCTCCCCTACTATTCTTACCTGATTTAAGAATTTCTGTTTACTTGTGGCTTCTGCTCATTTGGGCCAGTCCGAGACTAAAGGCCTTTGCAGATTGGCTACTTTTGGTGTGATTTCTGTGGTCCCATTATCAACTGGTTCACTTTCTCTCCATTAAAAAATTTCCAACAAAGAAAATAAAATGTTTCCAGCTGGGCACCATTGTCTCTATTTGGTCACAATACAAGTGCCCATTTCTTCAAAGTCTGGTGGCTAAGATAGAGGTTGGTTTTCTTAGTTAAGTGCCACTTTGGATCTGATATAATTAGCTATGGCAGCGGGTTGGGGGACTTATGGGGGAAGATCCCTTGGAAGGGGTGGTGGGCATCCAAAACCTTAGCCTGATCCATAGACCTGGCTGGCCAAGTGACAGCAACTTCTATAGCAGTCAGAGTCAGTGATCATCTACTTACTGTGCTGAGGAGACTTAGATGGTATCCTGTATCTAACACTGCAGTCCTCTTCTGGGTTGTCCATCTTTCCTACTGGCTGAGGGCTTCTGATGTCTAGAGCAATGCTCAGCACATCTTTAATATCCAGTAACGATTTGTGAATAGATAAGTACATGCTGCCTAGATTAGCATGAAAACATCTCCTTTTAACTCACCTAGACTATAAGCAAATTTAGCATAGGAGCCCTATGTGAAAAAAATCCACAATACCTAAGGACTGGGCACACAGTTGGAGGTTATTAAATACTTACTGATTTACTGCTTGGTAAATAAGCATAAAAGCATAAAAAAGATATTAGAGGGCATGACCTATCAGCCATCCCAACTGGGGACGTTGAGCCAGCTTGTCTGGTATTAATAGTATATATTTATGATTAGACTTTTGAGTGAGGAAACTGGGCATATGCAATAAGAAAGTGAATAAAGTCTTATTCTCTGATTTTCATGAGCAGAGCATGGACTCATTTCACTATAAGGAAAAAAGAATGATTTTCTTAAACCTCATTAACTCAAACTCTAATTTAGAGTTAGCAATCACTCAGACCCACAGAGCTAAATTTTACTGCTGCACTTTAAAAAGTATATGTGTAAAGTCAGTGAACAGCATCAGAAGGGAACCAGGGGTGAAGGATTCAGCTTGTTATTGATCACCAATCATAGGTCCCATACCAGTGCTCAGGAAGCCCTCCCTGACCTGCTTATTATCCCTGTTGAGACCCAGGGTATTTTTTGTGCATGTGGCACTCTATCATGACCCATAGCACAATGCATTGTAAATATCCTACAACAGATTGGAGCCCCTTGAAGATGATGACCCCTGTCCTTTTAATCTGTATTTCCAGCTCAAAACCTGCATAAATAAATATTTGTCCAATGCATAAATAAATCAAAGCTTCCACAGAAAGAGCCTTTACATGAGTACTATGTTCATTACAAACACATATTATCCTAGGAATAAGGTTTTATGGATTTTAGCCAAGTCCTGAACAAATTGTTCTTCCAGATCTAGTATTACCACTGTAGAGTAAAGGTTGAAAAGGCAACTTTGTAAGAAGATTAAAGATGACTGCTTTTGAGTAGTTAACTTACTGGTAATTAGGCATTTATTCAATAATTCATTCATTTATTTACTAATTCCCTCATTCTGAGATCACAGGTTATAAAGAACAAAATGAATGAGTAAATAAATAAATGAATGAATGATTGAATGAAGGCTGTACTGCTTAACCCATTGTGATTCAAGTTCTTCTCCTCATGTTGTGCCGGGTTGCCTCCTGGTAGGACTAGGTGCAGAGATGGAAGCTGTTGTAGGATTTGGTGGGCTGCACAGGCCT